TCTCATTCTCTCTCTCTCTCTCTCTCTCTCTCTCTCTGTGTGTGTGTGTGTGTGTGTGTGTGAAGAAACTCTCCAAAGCCAGCCAGCTGATTTGAACTAACATATTGATCTTACCTAATACAAATGCATCTATTATTTGCTTGTGGCATTGGACTAACACTAGCTGATCCAACATGTGACCCACTTCATCAAATTTAGCTCTCAAACTACTTTTTGTATCCCCTCCAGAGCTTGACTCCCCCCGCCCCACATTTCTGCATGCAAGTTCATTGAGCCTGTGGTGAGAGTGGGCAATATGATGGAATTCTAGTCATAGTTCTGTTGAAACCTTCCTATCCCACCTTACTAACAAAGGTGGTACAACAAGAATTATAAGCAGAACCAATTAGCATGAGCAATTTCAGGGAAAAAATAGTTTACTTAAGCTTGCCTACCATATGTTTGATTTTTGTAGCAATATTTATTATGTAAACTGCAATATCACCTCAGTACTAACTGTCTTGGCAATATATGATCTATAGGAATGACCTACAGGAATAACAGGCCTGATGCACAAATCTCACATGATTCTACTTTACATACCAGTCTAGTTCCTTTTTACTTTAATAGCTTACAGGCACTTCTAGCACTTTCTTTAAAAAACTGTGTGAGTTATAAAAGAGCCATGAGTTAAAGAAAAACTTGCATTTGCACTTTAATTCATACTTTTGCTTTCTATTCTTACTAGAGTATGCTGTTATGAAAATGCAGAAGAGGTACTATAATTTCATTCTGATGCATATATTTTAGGAAAACTAGAATATAACCAAGAGTAAATGTAAATGTATGGTGCAAGTACAAATCACCATGTGGGTTGGTTTGTAATACTTGGCGTATCGGTCTGATCCCTTATTTATTTAAAATGTTTCTCCTCTTTCATATACATAAAAGTCTCAGGACAGTCCAACAACAAAGGCATAGCATAATACCTATGATAAAAGCCCAACTAAAATTAAAATTAAGTCTTAAAATAATGGGAAAATAAAAAGGTTTAGGCCTGGTGCCAAAAAGAATAAAGTGTTAGCACCAGGCACACCTCTCCGGAGAGCATGTTCCACGGCTGGGGTGCCACCACAGAGAAGGCCCTTCTCCAGGTAGCCACTCTCCTAGTCTCTTTCAAAGAGGACTCCCAAAGAAGAACTTGAGATCCAGATCTTAAGGGGCGGGCAGGCACATAGGAAGGAGATGCTCCTTCAGGGAACAAGGTCCTAAACTGTTTAGAGCTTTATAAATGATCACCAACACCGTAAATTGGGTCCAGAGTTCAACTGATAGCCAGTGTAGATGGTAAAGGACAGGTGTTATGGGAGCATATCTGCCAGTCCCTTTAACATCCTGGCTGCTCTATTTTGGCTGTTTTAAACATGTAAGATTTTTTAAGGGTATAATCCTATGTCCTTCTGGACTGCAAGACTTTCTTCTGTCTAAATATACTAAAGATCACACTTTAATTCACTTTTGATCCTCATACACAGCACAAGGCTGCATGCAAGCATGACCAAGACTGAATCTGACACTACTGAATTGGGGTAGAGATGAAAGTGACTCAGTCCATCACCTAGATTGGAGACTACTACTCTCAAAACCTGGTTGTTAATCCCTCAGCCACTGAAAGGGATTCAAATGCAGTGAATACATGGGATGAAGCATTATTAATTGCCCCAATTCATATTTGGCTGAGAAAAGGACCCTTGCAGGACTACTTACTACATCCTTGACTCACCACCTTCTGAAATTACCTCTTGTCCTGTGCCCCAATGCAATGTAATATAATTTCACTATAACCAGAATTCTGTATTGGCCAATTTAGCAAGCTAACATGTCAGTTATATAAAACATTTTTTTCTAAAGATAAATAACCTGACCACAGAATTGTACAATTCAGCTAAAATGGAATGATAAAAACAGAGACAACATAGACCAGTGGTGGTGAACGTGCCGCAGCGGGCACACAGAGTCCTCTCTGTCAGCACGCAAGCCAAGTCACCCCAGCATAGCCCCAGTAGCCGAGCATCAGATAACAGTGCACATAGGGGCCATGCGCATGCTCAGAAAGGAGCAGCGGCGCCAGGCGATGATGTCACAAGCCATGACTCATTAGTCGTGACTTGTCCGAACTTTCACATGCCCGGTCAGTGCGCTGCCAAGGATAGCTATATGTTTGCTTGGACTGGCTGTGAGTTGTTTTTTCTAAACTAGAACCTCAGTTTTCAGGTTTTATTGCAGCGTTGGCACTTTGCAATAAATAAGTGGGTTTTGGGTTGCAGTGTGGGCACTCGGTCTCTAAAAGGT